TTACCCTTCCCTATCCAAAAAAAACCCAGTCCCACCTTCCCGTGTCTCCCAAACACACACAGACCTTCCTGGGATGTCTCTAGGCTGAGCCCCAGCCCTCCCTCTCTCTCACTTAGCTCTTGGATGAGGCAGTGACCTTTGCCTTGACTCCAGCTCCATACCCTGGGCCCTTCCCCCACAGCTAATCCAGGATTAGCCCTCTCCAACCTCCATGGTTTTTAATGGCTCCCTCCCAGCTTCTTTGCAGAAACCACTCCTGGCTACTTATCAGGTGCCCAGAAATTGTGTTCTGAGAGCATTGGGGCAGTGAAGCTGGGCTGGCAGAAGTACATCTGAGTCCCAATCCCAGAGCCACTACTGCCTGCGACCTTTGATGAGCCTCACCTCAAAGGAAGTACCAACATGTAGGTGGGGACACAGGGTGGGTCTAAGGAGACCAGGCCCTGAGTGGCTCTGAGACCAGTTAGAGACAGAAAAGGCCTTAAACGACATGTCTGTTAAAAATTTTGTCCAGAAGAATGGTGTGAATGCCATTTGCTTCTGCCTAATCTGTCCCTGTAATTGGACTTCACATCAGCCAATTAGAACTAAAATCCTGGGCATGCGTGGTAAGAGACCAGGTTGACAGGCAGATGACCTCATCCCATAAGTGTTGCCTAGAAACCAAAATCATGGGACACACGTCCTAGAGCTGTGACTGAATTCATTTCTCAAGCGAGAAGTCCGTCAGCCACTTCTATGCCAGAATTCTACCGTGATCTCTTTTTGAATATATATGAAGTTAATAGATACGTATGACTTCCCCTTTCCTGTGTGGTATAAAAGGGTACTCCCAGCCCTTTGTTCAGAGAGAGAGTGCCTTCGGGGAGCAACCCCCCCCCCTTCCTTACTTGCCTTAAGTAATAAACTATGCCTTGCTTTAATTCCACTTAACTCTTAGTTATTCTTAACTAGAGTACTAGTGGAGAACCCATTGCATTCCGTAACAGCTCTTCATTCCAAAGGTGAGGAGGTCCTCCAGAGAACTGTCCAGGCCCCTCCCAGCTCTGATATCCTGAAACTCTCAGCCCTGGGAGGATTAAAGAGAGGAATTTACGGATCATTCTGCAGCTCAGAGGACAGGGTAGAAGACGAGGGGTATCTCACTCAGAAAGAGGAAGGGGCTAGAGAGTGGGGGCCTGGATCTTCAGAATGAGTCAGAAGCCCATGGCTCTCACTCCCCACCCCCAGGCCCAAGATGTTTGGCGTCTCAAGTGGGCTGGCACAGGCGAGCATGGAGGGCAGAACACCACAAGCATGCCCACCCTGCCCCAGCCAGTCTTGCTGGGCAGCTGACAAGGCCACCGTCTGGCTGCTGCAGTTTCTGGAAAACAGACACTGGCCTTCCCCGAAATGATGGCTTTCTCAATAGCAAAGGGACAGAATGTTTCCGGAATGACTTGGCCCCAAATCAAGTCGCGTGTTTTCTGGGCCACAGCACTGGGTGTTCCTGCTTTGTCCAGGCCTTCCGGGCTTCCAGATGGCTGGGAGGGGTGCCCTCCCCCAGCTCTTCCTGGCTCCTGTGGATGGTGGAGAAGCAGCTCAGCCTGGTTAAGCTAGGTGAGAGGGGCAGGCTGAAGAGGAATCATGATGGAAATACAGTTGAGACATGGCTCACCTGAGGCAGGGTGCATTCCCGGCTGTCACAGTCCCTTCTGATGAAATCACCCAACAAAGAGACAGACACCTGTCACATGCCTGGCTACAGTGAGTGTCCCCTCAGGCTGGGCCAGCCAGCCATAGAGGACAACTCCCCTCAGAATGCCCTTCCCTACCCAGAGAAAGGCTCACAGAAGAGGGTAAGGCATTACCGTGAAACCTTGAGCACATCTGGGCTTTACTTTCCCCATCTGTAATTTGGGATAACAGAGGTACCTCCTATGAGGGTTGAATAAAACCAACGCTTTACTGTAGATAAAGAGCATGGCAAAGGCGCCTGGTACAGTACCTACTAAATGTTAATTGTTTACTGAATGTTAGCAGTAGTCTTACGGGTGGTGGAAAGTGAGGACATTCTGATTTTATTTTCTGAGCTTTCCCAAATTTTCAAAATTGCTGTTGCAATCAGAGAAAGGACTACCATTGTGTTTTAAGTGGAGTGCAGTACCCTCAGCTTAAGGAGAGGGATATGGGAGGCATGTATCTGCTTCCCACTATTTGTTCATTCTGCTCAGGCTTTGGGAAGTAGGTGGGCGGTGATTTCCACATTGCTGTTTTTTCCAAAGGCTAACCAGCTCCAGATCCAACCCTTGTGCTCTGGGCATTGGGTGGCTCCAAGGCTGAGATGGGGGTGGGGTGAGGTGGTGGGGACTGGTGGGGAGGTTAAGAGACCAAACAGGATGGGAAGACCTCCACTGAGGAGACACAGTAGGAGGTTTCAAACGGGGCCACAGCTCAGCTGCTCAGCCTCACTATCAGACATCCCATCACAGAGGAAGAAGAGGGAGTCTCAGCTCAAACCTGAGACCACTTGTGGTCAGAGTCCCCAGGGAGAGAGGAAGGACAGACTCTGGTCTGTTCCAGAGGAGGTACCCAAGACCAACTCAGGTTTCATCACTAAGACCAAGGTCAAGATCAGACACAATGCCTTTCCTCCTCACCCAAAACTCCTGCCCCAGGGCCCTCATGTCAGTCTAGCGCAAGCCTCCCTGGTCCAGAAGGAAGATATGAGAGCATTTATTGGGTACTAGAAGCCAGGTCCTCTGCTAAAAACTCTACCAACCTGTATAACTGGCACCACCAACGTGATTTTCATATGAGGAAAAAGAGACCCCACATCAAATAAATGGCAGAGCCGGGATCTGAAGGCAGCACTCTGAACCTCCCTGAGCTTCTGTCCTTGACCCCACCGCCTTCAGTAGGCCCCCAAAGGGGCCGAAAGCCCAGTCAAACCCTCCCACTGGGACTCTCAGACCTACCTCTGCAGAGCTGCGGGGACTTGCTGTTGGAATTGCAAAGGACCTCTGAGAGCACTAAGTGGAATGCCCATTGTACAGATGGAGATACTGAGGACACGGGAGGGAAGAGATCTACTCAGCTTTATACAGGGGATGATTGAGCTGGGACAGGAACCCAGGACAGCTGGATCCCATTTCAGTGCCCTCTTCTCCCTGCACCCACCCATCAAAGCTCCTCAAAGCACAAACCACAGGCAACTGGAAAGGCTGACAAAGTGCTGGCTGTGGGATTCCCAGCCAGGGCCCTGTGTCTGGCACACAACAGACACTCCGTCCAGCACAAACCTCTAGTGCCTGCCTCCAAGGAGTTACAGTTTAGCAGAGATGAGCAGAGTTAACTATCCTGTAGGTGCCCAATAAATGGTCACTCAACAAACTAACCGACAAGGCCCAGCAGGCCTCAGAGAGGCGATGGACGGGTCCCTCCATGACATGGAGACTTCCAAAGGTTACCTTCTGTTATAGGTTTATTTGATATTTAAACAGAGTCTACAAATTCAGACCCAAAAGTAATGGATTACTTCATGGTTGTCAGAGGCTAGTGTGCATTATTTCTGAGGGTTACATCTGATGACACGACACAGAGAACACAAATGGATAGACAGACAGACATACTCATTAAGACAAGAGATGCTACAATGTGCCTTAGTGTCCAAGTGATTACTCTAAGGCAGGGACCCTTCTAAGGCGGGGACCCGAGTGACTGATCTAACGCAAGGTGGCTTCCCATCACCAGGTGCTGACTGCACTGTGTGTGTGCCAGGTGCCCTGGACAGAAGCTGGCTTGAAACAAAAAACTGGGGAGCTTGCCCTCCCAGCAGTGACCTCCCGACCCAGCCTTTCCTCTAAGTGTCTGTTCTAAAGGACTTGGTGGTGACAGGGTTGATGTAAGCAGCTGAGGTTAGTGGTGGCACTGGGAAACCATGACACATGAGGTGGGAAAACAGTCCAGGTGACCCAGCTCCTCTCAGCTCCTTACACTGTCTGTGGAGGTCAGGGTGGGTGCATCAGGGAAGTGGAAGATGGAGCACCATCACCTGGGGGTTAGCCAACCCGAGTTTCCTTCCTTATTGGCAGTTCCAGAACATTCTCTTTGGCCAACAGCCACAGAAATGAGTGCCTGCCAAGATACATGGAGAAAAAAGAAAACAAGACACCAAAAAAATTACAAAAAGAACAAAAAAACCCTGCCCCAGGCAAGGAGAGGAATAAACAGAACTAAACCAAGGTCACACCAGAATCAGAACACATCCTGCGCCCCACACCCCAGGAAAAGGAAATACAATTCAATGTCTCGCTTCTTTGCTCAAGGGAAACTGCCACCCCACCCTGAGACTCCAACTCACTGAGCTTTAGTGTCCTTTTTTCTAAGTTTTCTTTTTAATACCCAAACCATCCATTGTCAAAGCTTTAAAAAAAAAAAAAAAATTTTGTACTGAAAAAAAAAAAAAAAAAATCTGAAATCACTACAAAAACTGATGACGCAGGCCCCAGGCCCGGCCTCTCCACCTGGCAGCCTGCTCTCCCAGGGGTTGTGCTGCCAGAGCTCAGCCTGGCACCAGTGGAGGCGACCATCCGACAGCTCGTTCACCTAGGACCCCTCTGCTCAAATGTGGGTGGGCACTAAATGCCAGCTGCATCACTAAATAAAATGGACAAAGTGGAGACACAGCCCACCCTTCCATAAGCACCCTCCATCTGAGTCGAACTTCCTTGGGAATGTGTAAGTTATCAGGACGGAGGAGGTGGAGGTGGGATGTAGAGAAAAAGAAATACCAAGAGCTACGTAGATGTCCCTGGACCTCTGGCATTCGATCCGCCAAGGGGGCAGAAATGGCCTCCAGTGAGGAGGCCCTGATTGTCCAAATACTGCACAGTCCTTAGATCTCCCCCAACAGGCGTCTGCCCTGGAGGAGGTTGCGGTGGGGGGGCGGGGCCGGGAGGGGCGTGACTATCAGAGGGAGAAAAAGGGCCACCCCTCTGGTACTGTCCACTCGCCCTGGCCCAGCTCACATCCACCCAGGATCCTGCTCAGCCAAGAGGCTGGGCTGCCCATCCCTGGACTTCTGGGAAGAGCAAAGCCTTGCCCTCCTGGGCCTGAGGACTCCTTGCTGGTCCCATGACGGCTGCTCTGGACCAGCCCCATGCTCCAGCTGCCTGCCAGCACTCAGGCCTGCTCCTTGTCGGCCCTCCAGAGCCGTTCCTTCACCTCGGGTGGCAACGTGTTGAACAGGTCCTCTTCTACCACCAGACCAGTATGCTTGAGCAGCGGGCATTCGCCCAGCTCCACGGGCAGGCACTCCAGCCAGTTGTCTCGAAGTTCAATCTGGGTCAGGTTGGTCAGCTCGCCCATATGCAAGGGCAGTGACTGCAGCACCTTGTTGCCAAGATGCAGGCCCGCAGCTTCCAGTACTGGAAGAGCTCTGGTGGAAGGGCCTCAATCTGGATGGGAAGGAGCAGAGGGCGAAAGTAAGGTGCTTGTGGCTCAGGCCAGGGGGCCTCTGGGCCCAGGGCTTCCCTTCCATCCCTCCACCAGGAACCAGCACCTTCTCTGATGCCCATTCCAGCTCCCCAGGACCTCTGGCACCAGCACCATCTGCCTATCTTCTACCTGTCCATTAGGTCTCAGCTCAGCATTCACTTCCTCCAGAAAGCTTTCCCTGACATTGTCCTGGGTAGCCTATGGCACCCATACCTCCACCATGATCCCTCCATGGTGAAACTGCCTGGTTACCTGTCTGTCACCCCCTGGACTTTGGGCTCTAAGAGGGCAGGACTGGATTTGCCTGTTCCCTGCTGTCTCCCAGCACCTTTGCACAGTAAGAAGCACAAAATACTAGCTAGCCGCTACAAACTCCATCCCCACACCCCAGGGCTCACCATGAGCCAGGTGAGACTATTGGTCATAGCTGCTGAGATTTAAGAACAACTTAGGCAAGCAGAGTAGCACACGGAGAAAATTTCACACCCTAAACTGTTTCTGAGAACTGGGGAGAGCTTACCAACAGAGACAAGAATCCCAGCTGTGTCACTTCCTCTCCCTGGGCCTCAGTTTCCTCATCTGCCAAGTCACAGGCTGCTCGTGAGTGCAGGGGACCCAGTACTGGCCATTTGGAACCCCTATTCTGATTTACCCAAGTTTCCTCGCGGCATAGTAGGTAAGTGCCTGCCTGCTAACTGAAATGACAGCGGTCGAACCCACCGGCCACTCCACAGGATAAGGATGTGGCAGTTTGCTTCCATTACAGCCTTGGAAACCCTACAGGGCAGTTCTACTCTGTGCTATAGGGTCGCTGTGAGTTGGAATTGACTCCACAGCAGTGGTTTTTTGGTTTGTTCTCATTTTGCAAATTTGAACAACAGGCAACACCCATACACTGCTTACTGCAGGAACTGCTCTACAGGAACCACTCTTACTACAGGTTTTGCTCTGAGCACTGCTGCTATGAGCTCATTTAACCCTCACAACCATTTGTAAATACTCTTTCCATTTTGGGAGCACTGGTGGCGCAATGGTTAAGAGCTATGGTGAGCTACAACTGCAAACCAAAAGGTCGGCAGCTCAAATTCACCAGCTGCTCTTTGGAAATCCTATGGGGCAGTTCTACCCTGTCCTTTAGGGTCACTATGAGTCGGAATCAACTCAACAGCACGGGCTCTTCCTGTTTTACAGATGAGGAAACTGACGCCCTATAGGAGCTACCTTGCCCAGAGGTCTGCAGCTCAGAAGTAGTGGAGCCAGGTGATCTGGTTCAGCAGTCCACGCTCTGAACCACTCTACTAACGGTGCGTGCCATTAGTGGAGCAAACACTGGGGCCAGGCAGGTTCTCCCAGCACACAGGCAGAGTTCCATAAATACCACGTTCTCCCCTTGCCATTCAGTGAGTGATCAGCTAGAAATGTGAGTCCTTATTGGGTCTACTGTCCTAAAACTATCCCCTCCAGCTATTATGGGCAGGGGAGACCCCCACAGTAGGGCAGGAGTCAGTAAACTTGAACTCCGATCCCATGTGAGGATGATGGGATACTGTGCAATAGCCACCCTGAGGGTGCTCTGTCACTGTCCTCATTTTCCTTCTGAGGAGACTGAGGCACACAGAGGCAAAAGGCAACACTTGTCTAAGGCTTCATTGCCAGAGAGGATGTAAGTTTTGCTTCCTCCACTCAGAGCCTGTGCTCTATTCTCATTCTGCAAATCAGGCGCTCATTTGCAGTATAACCCTGGGCAAGTCCCTTTCTCAGCTGGCTCCCTAGAATGCCTCCCTCCCTGTGACACACCCTCCCCTTCCCTGGTGAGCTCCCTCCAGGCCCACAGAGAAAGGAAGGCATATCCAGTCACTCAGCTCCCCACTGCAGCCTCACCTGTTCTTTAGACCTGTCCTTTTCTGTGAAGTGTCACTCATCCAGCATCCCTGATTCCACCGTCTCCCACCACCTCAAGGACCTCACGTGCCAATGGCTCCCCCATCAGCATTTAAGTGGCCTCAAGTCTACCTGGTCTTGGAAAAATGGCAACCCTCCCAGGAACCTTCTGTGGCTGCTCACTGCATGGCTCTCCGACCTTCATGACCAAATATCCAGAAAGAAGCTGTCTCTCTCCTTGGTCCACTGTGATCTGGCTTCTGCCCCAGTCTGTCCTTCAAACTATCCAGCCAAGGTCACCAACTGTTGTTCCTAATCCACCAGACCTCAATCCATTCTCCGCTTACCTGACTCCTCCCCCATCCTGAGACCCTGCACGCTCCTGCCTGGCCTTCCTCTTCTACAGTCCACCCCTCAGGCTCTAGCCAGACTCCCTTCCTTCCTCCCTCCACCCTTCCTCAGTGATCTCATCCAGGATCCCAGTTTCACCCATGAGTTGTGGGATGATGACTCCTTGAGCTTTAAGCCTAGTCAACACGGTCTCAATGTCCCAGGGGCCACCAACATCCAGAACAGGACACACCCTCTCCCATCCACAGACCTGTGCTTCTTCCTCCATCCTGTGTCACTGATCCTCCATCTACCTGGGCAGCCAACTGAGAAAATCACGAGTCACCCCAGACCTCTCCCTCTCCCCACATCCAACCCATCCCCATGTCTATGCATTCTACCTCCACAATCTCTCCCAAGTCCATCCATGTCTCTCCATCCCTAGCAGTCATTCCCAGGTCAAGCCGTCTTCCCCCTCACCAATGGCTAACAAGGTCTCCTAATGGAGCTCTTGACCTCTCATTCTGCCCCCTCAAATCCACGTTCCTCACTGCAGCAAAAGCAATTTCTCAAGATGCAAGTCTACTCACTCCTTTACCCACCCTATCAAAAAAATTTGGTAAACATTTGCTACAAGTCAGGCACTGAACAAAGAATCAAGTTCCCCGTCTTTAGAGCTCACAGCCTGGCAAGCGGAAACGGTCTTTGAACAAATAAAGATACAACTGAAATTTAAGTGGAAAAGAACAGGATCCTACCATTCCTCTGCAGACAACTCTATCCTGTCCCCAAGATAAAGTTCAAATTCAAGGGGCAGTTCATCTCTCTGCTCCCTTCCCCACCAACCTGCTCCTACCCATGAACTCCCAGTCATGTTTCAGTTCCTCACAGGCAGAATGTACTAGACTCTCCCCTTCCTCCTCACCTAGCTAATTCCTTCTCATCCTTCAGGGCCCAGTAAAATATCTGTTTTTTCAGGGTGTCACCCTGCCCTGAATTAAGTCTGAGTTGGGGTCATCCCTCTATGCTCCAAAGAGTAGTTCTTGTCACACTGTGTGCTAACTGTCTTGTTACTTGTCTTTCCCCACATGACAGTGAGCTCAGTAGGGGTAGGGAGTGAGCGTTCTTCCTTCCCAAGTCCCCAGCACCTTCCTTCATACCTGGACTACAGGAGTACTCAAAAATTAGACGTGAGACCAGAAGAACTGAATGGTGCCCGGCTACCACTACTCAATGTTTTGTTCAAAGATTCTATAAGAGATTTTGATCAAAAGGGGGAAAATGCACAACAGAATTTAAAATTCTCATGGAATCCAAACTTTCTGGAGCCAGTGAGGCTGGATGAACCCCCAAAACTGAGATACCCTTTAAACCTTAAACCAGAAACATCCCCTGCAGTCTTCTTAAAACCAAACAATAGTTTAGCTTAACTAGTAAACAGTGTCCGACTTGAGCACTGTGTTCCTTTAAGAACTATCTATACGGGATCAAATGGACAACAGCAACTCAAAAGACTAGATAGGAAACTTAGAGGGCAGTGAATCTGTGTTAATGAAGAAAGAACAATTCGAAAAAGGAGGGTGAGAATGGTTGCACAACTTGAAGAATGGAATCAATGTCACTAAATTTCCATGTAGAAATAGTTGAATTGGTGTATGTTCTGCTGTGTATATTCTCAATAACAGCAAAAAAAAAAAAAAAAGAAAGAAAAAAAATTTGCTGAGTCAATAAACAAATGGATGAGTGAATAATAAATAACCTTCCTTGCCAAGGTAGGAGGTATCCATTGTTTCATGACCATTTTATAAATGGGGAAACTGAGGCTCAGAGGGAGAGTAATATGCCCAACCTCACACAGTCTGACAGAGACAGCCTTCCAACTCAGGTCTGCTACGGAGCCTAGACAAACAACAACTCCGAAGGGGGCCATTCAGATGGCACAGACTCACTGGGGCCACTATCCCTGAGGTATGCCTGGGTGTGGTCAGGAAAGCACAGGAAGGAGAGTGGGACAGGTTCAAGGGAGTGGGGGGACCTTTTCTCTCAGTTATGGAAAATGCCCTTTTCAGGAAGCTTCCTGCCAGGCAGTTCATTTGACCTCTCCCTGGAAAGCCTTCCATGGTCAGCACTGCCTCTTAGTAGAGGTGTAGACTGGCTTCCCACCTAGGGTCTCAGTTTCCCCATCTGGAAAAGAACAGAGAATCTACCATAGATGTGCCCACATTTTGCAGAAGCTAGGCCAAGGTACCAAGGGGTGGGTCTGCCCAACCGGGGCTCCTTCCTCCCCAATAATTTGCAGCTCACACCCAGGAGAGACAGCAGGGCTCTGGCCCCAAAGTCCTCCCTACCACCACAGACACCCCTTGTCCTGACCGTTCCTGTATACAGTGCAGTGAAGAGAACAAGGCACTGTTCAGAAGCCAGGCCACGCCTCCCCTCTTGGCACCTTGGCTTCCCCATCCATAAAACGAGGATGGTATCAGATGCCCTTCTAGCTCCCAGGATACAAAGATCATAGAAATGAGGCTTCCCAAGCCACTTGTATGTGTGACCCTGGGCAGCCCTATACAGCAGTGAAAACACGAGTCGGTGGTGGAGCGACAGGCCTGGGTTCAGTGTGGGCTCTGCCACTCACTAGCAGAGTGATGTTGGGTGGGTGACTTTATCTCTCTGAGTCTTAGTTCCCCCATGTGTGGACTAGGGCTAAAGATAGGTCCTGCCTCTCAGAGAGTTCAAAGGCCAGGGCCTG